AACAGGCCACATAACAATAACCAACTTGAAACATTCCTTGTGCTCTACATGCATGAGGCTCAACTAAGTACGTATATAAAATCTTTTCATTTTCTATCTGAAATTTTTAATCGATATTACATTACACTTTTTTATACTAGATAGTTTTTGTGTTGATAAGACAGTTGCTGGGGGTATGCTTAGTCAAGCAAAAAATTTCGTCTCTAATATTGAGCGATAGGGCCTCTGACTATGTGTGTTGTGAGATTGAATATGCTCATAATTACCATTTGGTAGCCCAGTACTTTGGCGAAAGTGCTCGTTTGTTCTGCAAAAAATATGCAATCTATTTATCCTTTATAAAATAGTCTTCTTAGGTGTAGTTATAGCCTTTCGAGGCAGGCCTAGGATCTGACTATTACCTCTCTGCAATTTATTTTTTTTTATACTTATAAAAACCCAATTTTAGAGGGCACGATCGTTAACTATAATTGTCTTGTTGTAAGGAGAAGAAGACCGAACGAGCTTTCTGTGGTTAGTTCACCGAACTACAAAATAAGAAATAGTTTAAATATATTCACCTCAAAATTTACATAAGTATATAATCTATTGCGATATTATCATTTACAATCTAAGGCCATATACATAAATAAAATTGATTCTCGTCACCCGGCCGAGTGACTTTTTTATAAAAGTTAAAATATTTTTTTATAATAGCATATATACAGGTAACGTGATACAATTTATACCAAATGCTCGCTAAATCAACTCGTTGATCCCACTCTTCACAATGAACTTGCTACGATGAAGTCATAGAAGACAGAGGGCCAGGGTGTTTCAAGTTTTTAAATTGATAAGTATAACACTATAAGGGCAGAAGTTGTATGCTTCGTGTAGAATTCACAAAATTCACTTAGATAAATTTTTTTTTTTTTGAACGAATTTAGCAGAAAAATTGGGTTGTAATTTTTTTTTTTAGACTGACACAAATATTATTATATTAACCATAGGTCGCTACACCACACTGATGTGAAATGTTACTATGAAATACTCAAATCGACTATCATATTTACTTCAAATTTATTCCAAGGTGTAAGGTTAAAAAAATATAGAATTATTTGCAGAAACTTTTACGCATGCTTTTTTGGTAGTCTTTTCTCCATTCCTGGGCTGTATAAATATTTGCAGTCACATTTCTAATATTTGAACTAGTTGTAGTACATGCCGTTGTATGACTAATTCTTTTAAGATTGTGCAGATAATATATTTATAAGAGCCTTTGCTCATACCGCGACACTTTTCTTAACTGCTTTTCTTTTTTTAGCTTTAAACTTAACGCCTTTACCCTTTTTTTTTTTAGTTTTTACTGTGGCATAATATTCAGAGCAATATGGTTGTTCACCAGCAGGAGTTGGAGAAAAGATTTCTGTATCACCATACTGGAAACAAACGTCAGGATAAAGGCGAGAAGAAAAGTAAGGAACTTCCATTGATATCATGCAGGTAAGCTTGACATTAACAAATATCTGTTTGAACAATATCTCTAAAGATAAACTATTCTCTGTATTTTGTAGTTCTGTAAACGATTCATCAACAGACCTTTCATCAATAAACCTTTCACCATCTTCCATACCATCGGCATCGTAGTCACCATCATTATTAAACCTTTCACCATCTTCCATACCATCGCTATCATAGTCACCATCATCAGTAAACCTTTCATCATCTTTCATACCATCGCCATCGTAGTCACCATCACCATTTATATCATTATCTGCATCTTGAAGCTCAACTTCGTTATTATTTATGCTGCAATTATTATTGTTTCGAAATGAGGGTGGACTGGCTTTTGTGAAATCTGAAATTCCATAAAATGTTGTGCCGCATGTATAATCAATTGTTTCCAAGAAATTTTTAAGAAGATTTTTCTCCTCTGGGTTTAGACGATGTTGTGAGTAGAGAACTCGCAGACAGTTACATTCAATGCACTTGACCAAGATGCGAACATTTGTTGCATATTGTGCTCGAGGACTGAAACCCATTTTATTAACACCAAGACCATCAATAGTCGTAGTAGTTGTTGATGTAGGCACATTGGCTTTTTGAAGCAATGATGGGCAGTATTTTTCACTAGTATCTTTACTATATATTTCACAGAATGGTATATAATGATCTTCATTTGCTTTAGGAATAGGATCAGGGAAGGGTTGCAACTTTGAAAATACATCAGATCTACTCCGTGGTGGTCTACAAATTGTACAACCTGTTCCAGCTTCTTGACATTTTCGAATTTCAAAAAAATACGTTCTCAAATGACAGCAATGATTCATAAACTCAAGAATATGGGGCTACATATATAAATACATTTGTAAGTAAATATTAATTGTGACAGCTTACGCTAAAATTTGAGCCTATTTTAATGTAAAATTTAAATTTTAGGGGTATATCTTTTATTTATTTATAAAGAATATAAATGAATGCCAATAAAATTATAGATTTAAATAGACTCCAAATATAAGTAC